ACCTCATTTCATTTGATTTCTCTGTAAGTTAGTGAGGAAGATTAGTGCCACATATATAATTGTCGCTTGGCAACCTTTTTTTATCTAATTAGGTAGTGTTTATGTCTGTCAAACTTGAGGGGGGTTGGATGGCTGAATGGTTAGCGTGCGCGTGCTGTATCATAAAGTCTGTCATTGAGTCGACTGGCGTGGTTTCAAATCCCCGGTTGTATGTGGCAAGGAGTAGGGTCGCCTGTCCAACCTCGTGGGTTTTCTCTGGGTCCTCTGGTTTCCTCCCACTGCTAAAGACTGCTACGCGCAAGCGAATTATGTAAATAAAATTAAACCATATGTTAGTCCCGAAATGACCTAGTTTGTGTCGAGTGGACGTTAAACCCCATTTCTCTCTCTCTCTCTGTCAAACTGGAGGTCTTGGGTTGTAAAATGTACTTGTGGGTTAAGGTTTTGTTGCCTGTGCGTACCCTTGATTTAAATTGGTACAGGAATCCGATTCTAGATCTTAATTGATTAACTGATCATATACCAAGATTAAAGAAAGAGATTACAAATGAGAATACCGGTATTAAAGAATCCTTGATTACTCCAATTGTCTTTACAATCAAAAATCATTTATAGATAAGTCTTTTAGGTAAGTTAATTAAATGTCTATGGATTATGTAACCTGCCTTGTTTTTCTCAATAAATCAATAGTCATGTGATTTAATATGGCTGACCAAGGTGAAGGTTGTTTTTTCTTAGTCATTGTAATTCCTGCTAGAATCTAATCAATAATGGAAAACCATTTCTCCTCTCCATCATGGTTGCTTCATTTTTTCTTGTTATCATCTTGGTGATTAAACAGTCATCTATTTGCACAGATTTTCCATCTGAGAACTATACCGAGACTCAAAAGGCAGCTATCATGATGGATTTTTATAATGTGTCGAACTAAAATCATGACAATTGTTAATGGGTAAGGCTAATTTCTTCGTGTATTACATGATATTCTTATCTTTATAATAGGAATCTGGGTCTATCAGTATCTTTTCTGTTCTGTAACTAAGAGTTTTTGATGAATGATTTACCTTTAAGAATATGATGGGAATTATTATAACTTTCATAGAATAAGTAAATGTTATTGATAATATTATGGAACTGTCTACATAGGAAAAAAGTGCCTGTGTATGTATATTTATTGGGATGGAGATTATTGATTTTGTGTTCAGTAACTACTGGTAGTAAATTGGTTTAGCTAATGGTCTCTTGTGCTATTATAATGTTAAAACATGATGTGAATTTTACAGAGGTTAATACAATTCAGTTTCTCAGTCTGTGAACTTTAGGTTTTGGATTGTTCTAGTTTGTTGATATTATATAACAGAAAATAATAACAGACACAGTCACCAAAACTCTGAAACTAATCTCAAAACTGTACTTTCATTCAGCATGTTTATTGGTTTTTCTATTGTCAGGACTTTCCATCTTAGTCATGCTGCTGGTTCCCTGAAATGAAATTACCATGCTGTTAGTTCATCTTTACAGTTACAATTTCCCAAGTATTAGTCGGTTATTTATTTATGGTGTATTTAGTTTACTCTTTATCATGCGGGTGGTTCAGCCTCATAAACAAAATCTTCCCTAAACACATTCCCAAGACTTTTAAGTTTGCCGTCTGCACATTCCTTTGTGGTTTGAACTTGCCTGTTGTCTGCAACAAAACCCTAACTTGTATGTTTCTTTTGAGAATTACATTATCATAATATGCAAACCCAACAATATATTCTTCCTATGAGGAAAAGAAAGCACAATATGTCAGTTTGCTATTATTGAATTATCCCTATCTCTCAAACCACTATGCCATTTAATGTTTTTAAACCATTTTATCCGCATATCAAATCATCAATTTACACAGCCCGAGTTCAAGTGTAGAAGGGAGAAATACGTTTAGATTTCTCAGGTTTTATAAATGTTTAAATAGAAACACTAGGGAAAACTTATTGAACCATATCTATTTGCATATTTATAGAGGATGACCATAAAGGAAGAAAATTGTTGCATAGTCAATACATTTAGGAAATACATTTAGGAACTTTAATCTACTATCAGTTTTCATTTACACTAGTTCAGATGTGATTTCTTACTTTGCTGTTATTTAATTTTGATAATGTTTAAATTTCTGCATCAGTGGGTATGTATGTTATTATGTGGGACCTACTAATGTTTAAAAGGGTCATGGGAATGTGGTTAGGGAATTAAAAGTCTCTTTAACTATTGTACAATTCTTAGGGGTGGGGGCTGCCTTAGAATGTGCTTATGTAAGATTTTATAAAAACATGAAAGTTTGAAGGAACAGGAAATTACTAGAAAATTGTACATACATGGTAATCTCAAAATGGCCTAATTAAAGAATCCATGAGACATTACATTGCACCTTATTCCGTTCCATAAAATATAAAGAAGGTAACAGTTTTTAATTTCTACTCAGCTCAATTTGGGACTAACAGTGAATGGGAGGTAACCAGAAGAAACCCAAGAGTTAGGCAGGTGACTCGACTCCTTGTGAAGTACAGGCTTGGGATGCATGATTCAATGACATAAATTAGTAAAGACATTTTAAAAAGTTTGTTTCTGCTTCCCTTTTCTTTTCTTTTTTATTTTAAATTCTCCAATATTGTCTGCATCTAGCTAAGACTCGGTGCATCTACCGGTAGTAAAAACTAACATGCATCTAGTCAAAACTCACGTGCAGCTTGTCGTTGGAGACAATTTATGATAAAATGTTTATTCAACAATGAGTATTCATGTGCATACTCTTTTCCTAATGACAGAATTGTCCCTATTGTCATCGGGATGGTGGGGGGGGGGGACTGAATAGTTAGCATGTGCGCGCTGTATCATAATGTCTCATTGAGTCAACTGGTGTGGTTTCGATTCCCTAGTTGTACGTGACAAGGAGTAGGGTCGCCTGTCCAACCTTGTGGGTTTTCTCCGGTTTACTCCCACTGCTAAAGACCCCTACGCGCAAGCGAATTATAAAAATAAAATTCAACCATATGTTAGTCCCAAAATGACCTAGTTTGTGTCAAGTGGACGTTAAACCCCATTTCTCTCTCTCTCTCTCTCTCTCCCTCTTGTCATCATAACTTCCAGTGATGCCATAGATTGTAATAATTTGTATCAGATTAAAGAGTCTACTATTTTCAACAAACCTACCAAATAGGTTTTACTGTTATAATCAGCTATTTCCAGTTATATAAAAATCAACTTTTTTTGAGGCAACAGTACAATTTTTGTGATAAACAAAGACTGGGGTGTTATTTACTTTAAAGAACCGCCTCTTTCATTTGAGAAGAGCAAATAGCTAACAAATTGTTGTACTTTTATGCTTAAAGGTATATTTTCTTGACCGTTGTGTTGACGAAATCATGATATCTTACAAAATTACGATAAAAGATACAGTATTCTTCAAACCAAGCACATTTTAAAAGATACACATATGTAAATGATATGCAGACAGGTTGATGAACATGCTGGCTATAAGCGCAGCAACAGAACAAACTCATGAACAAATGGTCTAGCACTAGTTGATAATGTATAATAATAACCTAATTTAAGTTATTGTGGGCTTATAATGCAACTTGAGACTATAATGGTATTTTCTGGTAGTGAAAATATCATGTACCTTCAAATAGTGGGACCAATAGTTGACCTTATTATTTATGCCCAAGAGAACATATCCTGAATGCTTATTCAGTATTTACTGTGTTTACTTAATAGATACTTGTTAAATAGTAATTTATATAGAGTCAACCGCTTGTAAATTGACACACAGTTTATACAAGTTCAGACAATCCTCAACTGTAATGAAATATATAGGATATATATAGGGTATTTTGTATGTACATGTATGTAGACTGTAGTAGTTAACCAAGAATAATGTTGTATAGCTTGTTAATGTAAGATATGGGTATGATAGAGAAAGCTAGTGAAAAGTTCTAATGTAAACCAGAAACAATATTTTGTATGATATGTATCTCAACTAAATAATGTTTTATTTTAGAACAAATTCTGTGTTCACACCAAAGGAAATAGAGACTTAAACTTTCCCAACCGTAATTGACATCCTTATAGTTACACATGTGCGACAAACCATGTTATGACTGCATGGCATAGGTTTTGTCCTCACACACACATTGCTCAGAACTTATCTTAATTTTATTCAGGCCTTTGCACTTTCCATAAGGTTAGATATATTTCACAAGGCCACCTGCAGATTTCCCCAATGTCACAAGATGTAAACAGGGTTAGGGTGCGTGATTGTGGACGAGGATTGTGGGTTAGAGTAAGGCGTAGGGCTAGGTCTTGGGTTAGGGTTAGCTTTAGCGCTAGCCCTTGTTACATCTCATGACCTATGATGAAATCTACAAGTGGCCTTTTGAAATAGATCTAACCCTTTCCGTAGGGCTTATATATGCACATCCCCATCTAGATATAGACCTTACTAGTCTTGTCATGAAATACACTGTTTCTATACTCTTACAGTAATGTCATGTATTTGATAAAGATATCTGTAAGAATATTGATATAACATCAGGAGTAGTAAATTATCCATAATAATGTTGTGTTATTTTAATGTTGTGTATTCTAAATGTTAACCATTTCATCTTGTAAATGTCATTTAAGAATAACTTTACAAGTGCTTGGTATATCTTCACATAATCTCAATCTTGATATATTTATAGTAACTTTATACCTGACTTTACCTCAAGATTATGAAACTAGTATCTCCACATTTACATACTAGATACTTAGATGAAAATAAAAATTATAGAGATTCTAATCTAAGAATTAGTTCTAAAATTTAAATCATCACACAGATTATTAAAAACTATGCAAGAAATATTTCAAATTTTGAAAAATAGTATTTGGACCTGCTTAGTCATACATACATGTCCATCTTTTATTTCTATTCAATTAAAGTTAATGTACCAAATTTATTATTATTATATCTCTAATTGCAGGGTTCCACTGACAGTTCAACAGGCTTTAAGATGGGCAATTCCAGCTCATCGGAAAACAATGAACCACCAGTACACTACAGCGCACAATATGGAGTGGCATTTGGAACAGATTATCGCAAAAAGAAAGAGACTGTTACTGAAGGGGTCCGTCTGCGTTCAAAACGACGTAACCGACAGCCATCCGTTCAGTCAGACAAAGATTCAGCGATAGGTGTTTCATCAGAATTGGGTCAATCATTCTACAGTGATGCAGGATTTAACCGCGACTCCTTCTATTCTACATGCACCACAGAAAGTGGCTTCGAAAATATGCAAGAATCTTACGACGAATCAACATGTGAGGGTTGTTCACGGAGCAGAGTGTCATCTTTAAAAGGAACATACAGTCCCCGAAGTTATAACGATCGTCATGGTAAATACATACATGAACATATCGATATACCCCAACCCCCCACCACGTCTTCTCAATCTGTAAATAATAAAACTAGTGTATTATCATGTACAATAGACGAAGAAAACTCTCCTTCACACTCCAACTCTCTACCTCGAACTGTTATAGAAGCAGAGAGTTCACCTAGTTCTCTTCCTTCAGAATCTGATACAAACTGGGATAAACTTGATGATAAAAACACGCTGCATTTAGACTATGATCCTTCTTTAGACCAATCTGAATCGTTAAGCAAATTTAGTGGTTGTGCAAGTAGTTTAGACTCTAGTAGTTGGGATGGAGATGATAAAAATTCTCCGCTTCCCAGAAAACACGGACCATCAGATACACAATTTCGACAATCTTTAATGAACAGGTTAAAAGAATGGTCCAATCGCTCTTTTGATTTTGTTTCACGTTCTCCTACACCTGAAGTTGAGTTTCCGGAAGGTTTAATGAGACGAAGTAGGTCTTTAGACCGGCAGATGTCACTTATGACGACTCCAGAAAGTGCTTTATTTGAAAACGAAACATTGGGAGGAAAAACAACTGAAAATTTGGAACACATTGAAGATGAACTTCATGGTATTCAGGATGAGTTTGAAGAAATCACCTCTCAAATAAATGCTTTAATTAATCGTAGCAATAGTCAGGAGGGCATTACAGAATCAGATGGACCTATAACATTCAGAGCTCAGAGCCCTGTAGCTGAACAAGCTTGTTATTTAGTTGATAAAGTGCGACAACATTTCGAACACTCAAATAGTCTTCCATTAACTGATTCTGTTAGTAGTTCACGAGCCAGTAGTGTAGAACTTTCTTGGGATTTAGATGTGGATGATGATATGGTGAAACCTCGACATCGGCGTTTACTGCAAACAGCCAATAATTCCGCAGAAAATTCTGAGTCTAGTAGTGGTGAACATAGTGAGAAGAACTCTCCCTATAGAAAGGCCAGACATTCACCTAGAAGAATTCTTGTTTCTGATGGAGCATCTTCTAAAACAGGAGACAATTCTGAAGTGTTTTTGGATAGTATTGATGAATCTGCTGAATCTCAACCAAAACCTGCTACTAAAATTAACAGTAAGTCATAATATTAGTTTTATTCATGCTGATGATCCTAACTAATACCCTAACTAATAAAACAATGATTTCTTTTAACTTTGGATGAATAATTTTTGGCTTAGTTTTTGGTAAACAAGTATCAGACAATCATTTCAACACGAAAACTTTGCACACACATAAACAGCATGTCTGCTAAGTTGCAAATCCTTCTATGAATAATGCCTATTTCCAGTCCACAGAAATTGTTACGAAACTTACACACCTCTAAACATAGTAAATGCATCTAATTTTCAACATGCATATTGTGATGCTTGGATAACAAAACTTAGTTGTTTTTACATTTCCATTTTGGTTCAGTAATTTTTATATATTCTTATTTTTGCCTTTGACTATATACATTTATTTTTTCATTCTTATGTATAGTATCTTTTTTAAGTTTGTAAAGAGCATCTGGGCACTTAGGTGAAAAATGCACTATATAAATACACCATGATAATAAATAAAACACAATACATGTACTCATCAACTGTGCTAGCATTGCCAGATATTTGTAATTAGAGACTTCTGCATTCTTCTTCAAACTATAGTAACCAGCTGACAACATAGGAAGCATGACACCATTTTTATACGCCCATCGTCCACAATTTCTTGTGAACGCTCTAGCGCCAAAAGTTATCATCCAATTGTTTTAAAATTGATATATGTTGTTTACATTAGTGAGATGAAGAAGCCTATTTAATTTCAATAATTTCCGTTTATTACGTCTAGAGTTATGGCCCTTGTTTCACTTTATTAAACCTTGTGAACGCTCCAATGCCAAAAGTTATCATTCGATCTTTGTGAAATTTATATGCATTATTTAGATTAGTGAAATGGAGAAGCCTATTGAATTTCAGCAATTTCCGTTTATTACGTCTAGAGTTATGGCCCTTGTTTCACTTTATTGATCCTTGTGAACTCTCTAACGCAAAAAGTTATCACCCGATCTTTGTGAAATTTATATGCATGATTTAAATTAGCGAAACGAAAAAGCCTATTGAATTTCAGCAATTTACAATAATTACTTCTACAGTTATTGCCCTTGTTTCACTTTGTCAAACCTTGTTAATGCTCGATTGATGATAGTTATCATCTGATATGTATGAAATTTATATGCATCATTTAAATTTGTGAAACAGGTCTATTGAATTTCAGCAATTTCCGTCAATAATTTCTAGAGTTATGGCGATTGTGCACGTTTGAATGACAAAAATGATCATGTGATCTGTATGAAATTTATATGCATTATTTAGATTAGTAAAACGAAAAAGCCTGTCAAATTTCAACAATTTCTGTAGATTACTTCCAGAGTTGAGACCCTTGTTTCAGTTTGTAGAACCTTGTAAACCCTCAAACGACAAAATTTATAATCTGATCTGTAGGGAACTGTTTTGTAAAGGCCCCCAATTACCTACAAAGGAATAATTATGCGACAACCCTGGATGACCGCTCGGACGATTTAGCTGTTGTGGGCGTATGTTTTGTTGCCTGGCAACCTATCTTATACTAATACAAATGTTTATATACTAATGCTGCTAACAAATATTAGTTCACAATTATATTACATCACAATGCAAGATGAATGTAAACTTAATGCTTCTTATCAATGTAAGTAGTTTGTGTTTCAGAGTTCTACAAATGTTGAGTAATGATGTAAATCTAAACAATAATCTGAACAGATCTCTACTAAACAATGTTTATTTTAGTCAGGATAATACTTATCACATATTTGATCAAATAATTATTAAAATATCAATCTAGACAGACAATTCTTGATGCAGATCTGTTCCTCATTCTTACTACCATAATAATTTTCATGGTAATGTTTCGAATTAAGTTATATATTTTGAAATACAGGGTATGTTTTTTAGTATTTATGTGAATGAAAAATGCTTTTATAAGAGCCCATAAATTACATCTTGACTTTGTGAGATAATGTGTAAAAAACATTTAGTTTGTCTGGTAGTTAATAAAATGAATTAACTGTACATGTACTTCCATAATATGTAAATAAATCTAGCATAGTTACAAAACTAGTTTAAAGTGAGAAGAAATTACATGAGTTACTGGTCAAGTTAGCCTACTCAACAAATTTGTTAGTACATGTTGCTTCAATTATGCTTTAAATGAATTTTATCAACTTTGCTGAATTGCATATAACAATACTTGTTAACTGGGTGTCAAGTCTTTAAATGACCTTGAAGATGACATTTTATAAACCACCAGTCTCCTGCTAATATCCTCGTAAAGGTATTACCACCAGTATTTTGGTAAAATTAGAACAGAACAGCCATTTACACAAGGGTTTTCCCAACATTAGAATAGCTGTGCATGAAAATCTGAAACATATTGTTTAAACAGGACATTAATTTAGACAATAACAGTACCTGCCTATCTAGTTGATAGAGGAATTTCCTACCTAAAACATGGTCTTCTGATTGTTACTGTATAAATGTGAGAGAAAAACAATATACTATATTCCAAATAATTACATTAGGCCTGCAGCATGTTACATATTTCATTATTGTTTTGCAAAAATATGAATGAAATTGTAAAATAATTTTAGTTTGTTGCATATTATGCAGTTATCAAAGTATAATTTTCCATTCACTGATTTTTCAAGCTACTGCCCTTGATCAGTTTTAAAATTTTTGGAAAATACAATTATTTTCTTATTGATTTGAAATTGATACACAGTGTTTTATGAGACGAAGAATCCTATTGATTTTCAACAATTCTTGAAAACTGGAATTACTCAAATTTATCGTCTAATCACAGCAGGTACATGTTTTGTTTTAAGCTTAATTGTTAGCATCATAAAGAACTAGAAGCCAATCAAATTTTAATTATTTATGGCAATTACTTCATGGTATATTACTCTTGAGCTGTTTTTAGTGTGACAACATTTGTGAACTGCTAGGACAACGTATCTGCTGTAGACTTAGGTTTCATTGCCTGGCAACCTATCTTTACACATGCTCTTTTGACCATTAACCAGTTTTATCATTGGAAACATTAGCTTATATAATTCTCTTCCATATTCGTTAAATCATAAAATACTTTCATTTCAACAGAAATTGAAATGCACAGATTACCTTGGGTCTTATGACCTGCAAACAGTGTTGATTCAAGACATTTTTGGATGGGATTTGACACCTTATTTATTTCTGCCATGGTGCTAATATCTTTTGTAAGCTTAACCCACCATTTCCATGGTATATCACCATTTTCAGAAGTCCTGTATCCACAACGGCTCCTAATATTCTCTAACCAAAATACTGATTAAATCATATTTGTAATTTTGTTTTTTAACAGAAAAGATGAATATAGGTGAAGCTTTAGATTTAGAAGAATATGCTGATAAAGAATGGAAGGGTGATACAGATAGAGCTAAAACAATAAAACAGGTAGGCACCTACATGTTATTTTTTTTACGATCAGAATTCAGATAGTTATTAAAAGTATTGGTAGATTTGTTTACACCTTAGAAAGAGGTACCAATATTAAAAATGTAATATAGTTAAAACTTCTAGTCATTCTGTTGGGATGAAAAAAAAACGGGTCCTTTGACAAGTTGGCATGTAAAAGAACCCTTGACAATTGGAAATGAGAGTATGACCTAAGCCCGTCTTCATTAGTTTGGATGGAGCAGAACAGTAGGACTTTAAACCCCCTTTCGTTTCATTTCATTTTATAAAATGAATATGCTTGTATCTTTCTATTATAATAGCCAAAAGTATCAAAATAGCTCCTAAAATTCCTCATTTTGTTTTGTTTTAAAAAAGAAGAAAACTATGGATATGAACTATATACGTCTTTCTTTCATTATTTCAGGGTTATAAAGAAGTTATAAAGACGATGAAGTGTAAACATTTACGACAAATCAGGGGAGATAACTATTGTGCTATACGAGGCGCTTTATATCAAATGTTAACTACAGGTAGTGCTAGCATGGAACAATGGCCTAGTGTAATGAATATTATAGACAAATTAAAAGAACTTTATGAAGATCCTACCACTGGACTTGCTAACTGGACATTTGGTAATCGGTTTCCAGTTGATACTGATAAATTATCAATGATATGCAAATGTGTCTTGACCCTCTACTCCACAGTAAGTAATTCTTTTGCTTCTAAAATTACACTGGACACAGATACCAGATTTTGCATACTTTGTTAGGTTGTGGTTTTCAAGGTTTTGGGGTTTCATTTCACTGAATTGTTCAATACAACTTTACGTACACTTAATGAAACAGGCCCCCAGTGGTTAATTTCCACACTGAAGTTGCATTTCAAGCCAGGATTTTGAAACCCTTGTAAACTACAATAGTGTAAAAGTTGAATCTCTAGAAGGAATATCGCCCAAAAATGGTTTAACTCTGTTCGATATTTACAAAGATATGATGGTTTGAAATTTTACATCATTTGTCATTCTCTGCAAATGGGATTTTGCCAAACAGCCACAAACCAAAACAACCAAATTCATTTTGGTCAAAACAGCCACAGTAAGAAATTTGTCGTTTGTTTTTTTATGGTCGATATCTGTTTTGATGAGATTTTTGTTTCTTTCTGGTTAAAGAACATTTCGTCTATGTAAGTGTTATTAATGTTAGGTAAAATGTTTAAATGGGTCCTCTTTATAATCAGATTGAATCCAACCTGGGAGATCATCTCCAGTTGATATTGTTTTTTAAAATTAAATCTTAAATATTTAATTTGAGTACATTTTAGCGTGGATAATGCTATGAAAGATTTGATATTGTCAGAAAATTGCAAACAGAAAACAATTTATCAAATTGAATGTTTAACAGCTTCTCTGTAAATCTAGAATCCAGTTATAGAATATGAAAGGGTTTAACGCCCACATAGTAGTAGTGACTTGTGGTTTAACATCTGCTTCCACAATAGTGATATCGCAGTTTGGCCCTCAACAAAACTAGGTCTTTTTGATGGTCCAATTGAACCTTGCAATCATGAGCCATTATTTAATTGGCTGATGAGCATAGTGTGACTGCCAATGAAGGCTTACAAAACAAATAGGTGTTGAAAATATTGCACATTATTATATGTATGGTTCGTTAAATGTATGAAAGTAGACCAAAAAAAAAACGCATATGAGGGTTAAATTTATAACATTAATTGGATTAAAATAACAAGAACTAAATGGAAAAAGTGACAGGGTGGCACCTTGAACCCTTGTATTGAGACATTGCCCTTTTGTGGACCCCATTAGTCAATCCAGAGAAATGTTTTTATACATGTACGCCCACATTGAAATGTGGTCATAAATTGCTGTCGCTCCCATCCATCCATACATCAGTCCGCCGTCCACAATTGCTTGTGCAAGCTCTAGAGTCTAAAGTTAATTGATTGACTTTAAATTTATACACAGTGTTTAAGGTCATGAGACAAAGAAGGCTATTGATTTTCGACAATTTCGGATAATTACTGCCAGAGTTATGGCCCTTGATCAGTTTGAAAAATCTTGTGGTTGCTCTAGAGGGTAAAGTTGCTATCCAATAGACTTTATACAGTGCCTGGATGACTTAGATGCTGTTGGCGTATGTTTCATTGCCTGGCAACCTATCTTTAAAATAACTGAGTACTTCTTATTTTTCAGGTCGAATTAGTCAATAAAATTGATTCTTATGATGAAAAAGTGAAACAAACTTTAAACTCGCTGAATTCTCATCCTGATACTGATGTTGAACTGATGGAAGGTGTTAAACTGTTGATGTTGGTTAAAGCAGTAGAGTTATTTAAAGACAATCAAAAAGGAAAAGATCTTCCTATATTTGCGTGTTTAATGTTTGCTAGAGATACATCGGAAACACTTAGCAGTTTTGTAGCCAATCATCTAAACCCTGTTGGTGATAGTGGAGGATTAGAACAGGTAGGGATTTTTTCCTATCATACAGGGTATTGCATAAATAAAAATATGTCTAGAAAGTAAAATTGGCTTGTAAATCAGTGAGATTACAATCTGGAATTACCTTTTTGCAGAAACATCATTGACAAATTTTAAGAAGTGTATTTTGTTTTGGTGAGAAATATTGGGTCATTCAAGCATTTTATTTTCAGATGCTTAATTTTGTTTTTGAAGCCTTACGACTAAAACAATTTTTGACTTAAAATATGTGTCATAATTGTATTTTTCAGGTTGAAATGTGTTTATTGGGTCAGACAATAGGAACAGTGATATCTGTTGCCCGTCTGGCACAGTTTGGAGCAGAAGACTTTTTATGTAAATTTCCCGATGATTCACCATCTGATTGGTCAATAATATCTTTAATAGCAGAAGATGACAGACATTACAATGTGCCTATCCCCTAATTTAATAGTGATAATATTTATAAACATTAGTTGTACATATATATTAGGTGATTTTTTTATATGTACAGTATTTTTACCATGTAATAATATGTAATTGTTGTTGGAAATCAAGGGAAAACCTAAAATAAATCAGATAGACAATTGATCCATGATAATAATATGCATTAATAAAAGTTATATTGTTATTTATACTCAACTAACATACAGGATATATATATTTTATGACACTTTATTTGACATTTCATCCATCTTTCATTTCATTATTCAAATCGGATCATATGGCATAAACTAGCCAATATTATTTCTTTGTGAAAATTTTTGGAGGCTATCAAAATATGTAATAACTGGTAAAAAGCTGTTGATGAGATTTTGAATTATTTATTACATTGTGATGCAATTAACTTTTTCGTACTGTTCAGTTTTCTGGACATTTCGCTCCTTATTGGATTTTAACAATTAAGGGATTTGATAGTTTAAATTTTTTTATAAAAATCTTTTTAATGAACATTTTACAGTCCGAAATGATTTGCAAAATGATTTGGAAAAAGCATTTATAAAATAATACACTGCACACCTTTAGTAATTGTATGAACAAAACGCTCTTCATGACCCAGTAATTAATAGTTAACTTAAAGAAACCCACTTGAAAACCTTTAGAATTATTTTTTTTTTTAGAGCTGCTGATCGTCATTTGAATTTTTCAGACTATCTAATTTTTCACTGGTGCTTTAATGTATTCAAATTGATTATTTAACATTTAATTAACAAAACACAATCAAAATAATATCATTTTAACCAGAGTTACATCAATTTAATTTGGCAAAGATTGCATGTGGCGCTAGCTAATTTTGATCACATGCTGTATGGTCTATAGAAGGTGCTGCATGTTGAAAAATTTCAATGAACCCTATCATTGTAAATAGTAAAAAGAAATGAACCATTTTTGGACTATTCCTTTTAAATGTTCACAATACGGAAGGCCTAATCTTGAAGGAATTAAAAATCACTCAAATGACGATCAGGGACTAACAAATAAATCTATATATAAAAATAATAATGGTTCCTGTAATTGTGAAATGTGCCGTTTGAATGGCTGTTCCACATATTTTGTGAAAGTACCATTTTAAGATTTTTTTTATTAGTGTAATTTTCGTTTTACCTTGCACTTTCGTTATCCCAATGCAATTTTTTGTTTAATTTTATTAAATTTGTTTTGTTGGCAAGGTTTGTCATGAAGGGCAAATATTGTTTTGGTTTCATTTCACCCATTTTTATTCTGTTTTTCATGTAAATAGTCTACTTCAATTATTAAACTTTATTTTCATATTTGTAGATAACGGGAGATATTTTATTTTAGGTATTTTATTTATTTTTGTCATTTCCAGTTTATCTTTTCTTCTTTTTTTTTTAAATTATTTAAAAACCATGTAGATATGCAAATATATAGATTATGATTTGTAAATATCTTTTATATGTAGTGAGAAACTAGATTATTTATTTCCATTTTTAATCAGAATGAATAGTTTTGGCACTTCATTCTGCCATCAAACAATGATTCACTAGCAAATTAGAACCCAGAATTGTTTATTGACAGGATGGGTGGTGTCAGAGTATATAGTTTAATGTTTAATTCCCAGCTCAGTCTATTTTGGGGGGCAAATGGTTTTTTTTATGTCAAATTTTCATGTAGCTGGTGGCTTTATGAATTCTTTGATATCAACATTCTTTATAGGGTAGTAAAGTTTCAAAGAGAAGAATTTTCCCTTGATTTCTCATGACATGCATCATTTTTGATGTGGGCATTATGATAGATAACATGTAGTAAACCAAATATTACAGTAGTAATAATCACTTGTACATTAGGGACCATAAATTATTATAACATACAGATAGTATTATACTTAATGATCATGTCAGTTGGTGCTGTTAATAATTTAGATAATAGTTAATATTTAGCCATGGGTAAAAGTGCCATATATTTCATTTATTTAAGATTCTAGTTTTACAGTAAGTTTCATTCGTTAGTGGTTACTTCTTGCTGTGCAATAGAATGTATGATATTATGTTCAACTGTATTGAGAACGGTGAAGTATTCACTAAATGTTTATCTATGCACTTTGTAGTGATATAAATAACACAGTACATAATAAACAATTCAGCCGTACTAATTTATTTGTAGCAGCGCCAAATACAATTATTGTAATCCGACATCCATTTGTTTACAGTCGAACAATAAAAATTACAGTTCTATTGTTAATTTATTGTAATCAAATTTTTTTTTTCTTATTAGCAAATGAATTTAGGCCCTTGATATTGTGTTTTTCGGCAAGGTAGGCTCAAGTAGTTTGAATTTAGATTAGTAGGCATTTGGATGTAGGTTGCTTGTAAATTGTAATATATATATATTAATACAATATAGACTGTTATACTGTATTTCCGCAATGAATTCGGTGTACATAGGCTTTAGGGAATGAAATAAGTCAATACCATTTAAAGTTAAATTTCAATTCATTGAAGTAGTCATACAAAATGGTAAAATTTAAAGAAACTCAAACAAACTTGTAATCTCTTGTCAGACTATGTAGTTTGACCAAACACTGCCTTTTCTCAAAGAGGTAGTCTTATCCTGGGACTAATGTAAACAATCTGGAAATGAATCTGACCAAGAACTAGATAGAAACATTAATCCAAATGACTATGCCAAGTGTGTGATAGGGTGTGATTCCATATAACTCTAGAGCTGTTCAGCCTGTGTGATGGAAGTTGTTATTTTAATCCAGTAATAAAACTGATCAATTTTAATTGGTGTTATTTAATTCTGTCTGGCACTATGCTGCAGTACCTGCACAGGTGCCAAATCAGTTACGGGCAAGTGAGGGCAGCTTTTCACGAATACGGATAGGGGAGGTCGTAGATTGCGAACAAACATTTGGGTGTCTGGTCTGGGTGGTGGTGATGTTAGGTTCTTTTGACAATTTTAGTGCTAGAGTTTACATAAATTAAACAAGTTTTGTAATGTATTCATCTGAATATCATATAAGCACATGAAGCCAAGTCCAGGGTAACAATGACAACCGTGAGGCTGATATCCTCGCTACAATCTCAAATTAAGGTTTTGATGTAGCGACACCGAGTGTCACCGATTTCTCTCAATTAGAATCAACTTTATCGTGTCCCAAACTATCAACTAATGAAATTGCTTAGCTTTATCGGAAATTGTTAATCATCCAATTTGGTCAAGGCATTCACCTCAAGAACATTTGTGTTCCAAATTCTTAACCTACCTAATCGTTTATCACTACTTTGCCCAAGCAGAAAATTCTCATCATTAAACTCAAGGTATTAATGCAATGAAAACTATATTCCTCGAATTTTGTCACTCTCCCCCAATTTAAATCCAAATTATTGTGTTCTAAAGTCTCCACCTGTTAAATTGTATTTATTAGTCGTAGTGGAAAATGTTCATCAATTTTTATTGTTCTACATTCATTGAACTTACAATGAAAAAACCTCTAAAGCACTACTGCCAAACTGATTAGCGGTTAATATTCGCCTAGTCGCTACTATCACTGAAAGAGAGACTAATTAGACCTCCGTATTACCTTATTTTCTTCCCCAAATTAATTTCTAAAACAATTTTTGTCCCCCGCCTTTCGTAGAAATCAGGGGACTATTAAATGGGTCCGTCACACTTTTTGGGACACAACTCTTTCTAATTGAGCTAGAATGTTCAAATTTGGTGTAGGTGTTTATTAGGTCAATGTCTTGATGGAGTTCGAAGATGAGCATTTTCTGCTTAGTGGAAGCAAAGATAAGCAATTTGATTGGTTGATGCTTTGGGACACGATAGCGTTATAATTAAGAGAAAGTGATGAAACTTGGTGTATAGTTTCATTACATCAATACCTTGATAATGATCATTTTCTGCTCCGGGTAAGCAGAGCGATAAGCAATTTGATTGGCCTAGACTTTGGAACACAATAACTCTCCTAATTGAGCTAGAATGTTCAAACTTGGTGTAGGTGTTTATTAGGTCCGTGCCTTGAATGATGGAGTTCGGGGATGGGCATTTTCTGTTTAGGGTAAGCAGAGATAAGTAATTTGATTGGTTGATGCTTTGGGACACGATAACTTTAGTTATAATTGAGAGTGAGGACACTTGGTGTATAGCTTTATTACATCAACATCTTGACTAAGTTCGATCGATGATGAACATTTTCTGCTGAGGGTAAGCAGAGCGATAAGCAATATAATTGGTCGAGACTTTGGAACACAATAACTCCCCTTCTAATTGAGCTAGAATGTTTAAACTTGGTGCATGCGTTCATTAGGTGAATGCCTTGATGGAGTTTGGTGATGAACATTGTCTGCATATGGTAAGCAGAGATAAGCAATCTGATTGGTTGATGCTTTGGGGCACGACAACTTAAGTTTTAATTAAGTGAGAGTGATGAAACGCCGAGTATAGATTCATTATATCATTACCATGAATAAGTTCGATGATGAGAATTTTCTGCTTAGACTAAGGAGCGATAAGCAATTTGATTGGTCAAGACTTTTAATTGTGGTAGAATGTTTAAACTTGATGCAGATGTTCATTAGGTGAAAGTCTTGACTGAGCTCAATGATTAACATTTCAAAGCTAAGTAGATCTAAGTAATTTCATTGGTCGATGCTTTGGGACAAGCTAACCTTGACTATTATCACATATAGAGAGTGATGAAACTTAGTGTATAGTTGATGATCAGTTTGATTGCTTGGTACTTTTGAAAAAAAAATAAATGTGCTATTAATTAATATGTGTCATCTATTTATTTTGGGATTTCGGCGGGGGACATCAGCCTCACTGTTGGCTTGTTAAAATATTACGGTAAGAAACAAAAAATAAAGGTGTTTATTTCATTTTCGCCATAGCCAACGCCGGATTAACCAGGGGGCACCATGGGGCCCACCACATTAGAGGGCCCCCCCCAAAATCTCAGTTGCGCGCCTCGAGCATGGTCAGACCCAGGACTCCAACGGCCGGTGACCTATTGACGGGGCCCCTCTGATGCTCCGAGATGTTTTTTTAGTGGATCGCCGGAATTCAACGTGAATTATCAAATTCTAATGAGAGTACTGTCTTGTACGTGGTTGGATCTTGCAGGCGAGTGTGCCTTGGCAACTTTCCCGGAAACTTGAAGATTTTAAAAAATAAACGCTTATTGTGGCTTTATCTGGTGTGACACATGGTCTTTTATTGTCGCGAGATCTTCTTTCGGACCGAACATCGTCTAACTAGAATTATCGTATAACTCGAACAAATTACCCGTCCCCATCAATCGAGTAGCACGAATTTTGCCTCAGATTGACGTACGATTGTATATAAGCTGTAGTTGTGGTTGTTGATATTTGTTGTGGGTATAAGCTGAATTTGATGAGATGCACATCATGATCACACGAAATATTCAGATTTCTTGATTAAATCATGTATTACCATTTGGTACTTACAGTGTTAGACGTTCGTCAAAAATCGAGTCCGGCACGGTCGTAACGTTACGGCCTCCATTCATCAATTCATCTTGGGCGATATAATACGATTCCGAATCAAGTGACCCCGTTATTTATCACTGAGCCATCATTTCATAGAACTCGCATGGATTTGTCCACTGAAATAACGCCAGAATGCGCTAATTTTGTGGCAGAATTTTATTTTTTTCTGGGGGAGGTACTTCTAAATGGCTCTGACACAAGTGCCTGAAATGCCAGGAAATCACGTTTCCGGCCTCCAATTTCTGAAAATTTCGGGGCTTCGCGCCATCGGTGATCAGAGGCTCCCACCATGGTTAATCCGGCGTTGGCCACAACACTTGATTGTAGCCTACATCAAGCATCTAAATTTGCTGCGCAGCCAAGGAGTATACAGAGATAAAATTAATATAATCGATACCGATTGAAGATTCCAACAGCATTTGTAGTCCATTCAAGGGCTATTACTATCATGTCTGCATATCGTAATTATGACTCCATCCATTGACCCGTATACCTTCTCTAGAAATAAGATTTCTGAAAATCGAGTTTATTTATACACATTTTGTTTCGAAAACTTATGGTAACTGATGAAACTCAAATGCCCATATCTCAGTCCATTTTCAAGCTACAGACCACAAATTTTGCAGTTTCTACATGTACAATAACATATTTTTTCCAGATTTCGAGGGGGTCAATTTCCCACTTGACATGGAATGACCCTATATTGATTTAATGAAACTTTACCCTTCAAGACATTTGACTATTATAATAAACATCTACACCAAGTTTGAATATTCTACGGTAACAGTTACCAGGGTTGGACAGTCGTACGGACTAATCCATTGCAACAGTTCCCTGCCCAGCTTTCTCAAAGAAAGGTTGCCAGGCAACGAAACATACACCCACAGCAGCTAAATCGTCCGAGCGGTCGACAAGGGTTGTCGTATATTTATTCCTTTGTAGGTAATTGGGGGCCTTTACAAAACAGTTCCATACTGATCAGATTATAAATTTTGTCGTTAATGAGGGTTCACAAGGTTCTACAAACTGAAACAAGGGTCTCAACTCTGGAAGTAATCTACTGAAATTGTTGAAATTTGACAGGCTTTTTCGTTTTACTAATTTAAATAATGCATACAAATTTCATACAGATCACATGATCACTTTTGTCATTCAAACGGTCACAAGGTTCACAATCGTCATAACTCTAGAAATTATTGACTGAAATTGCTGAAATTCAATAGACCTGTTTCACAAATTTAAATGATGCATATAAATTTCATACATATCGGATGATAACTCTAGAAGTAATAAACGGAAATTGCTGAAATTCAATAGGATTTTTCTCTTGACTAATTTAAGCGACATATGTAAATTTCATACAGATCAGCAGAGCATTAGAGCGTTCCCATGGTGCAACAAAGTGAAACAAGGGTCATAACTGTAGAAATAATTGACGGAAATTGCTGAAATTCAATAGGATTCTTCATTTCACTAATTTAAATCATGCATATAAATTTCACAAAGATCGGGCGATGACTTTTGGCGTTAAAGTATTCACAAGGTTCAATAAAGTGAAACAAGGGCCATAACTCTAGACAAAATTAACGGAAATTGCTGAAATTCAAAAGGCTTCTTTGTTTCACTAATTTAAATCATGCATATACATTTCACAAAGATTGGGTGATAACTTTTGGCGTTACAGCATTCACAAGGTTCAATAATGTGAAACAAGGGCCATAACTCTAGACGTAATAAACGAAAATTGCTGAAATTCAATAGGTTTCTTCATTTCACTAACTTAAATATTGAATATAAATTTCACAAAGATCGGATGTTAACTTTCGGCATTAGAGCATTCACAAGGCTCAACAAAGTGAAACAAGGGCCATAACTCTAGATATAATAAACGGAAATTATTGAAATTACATAGGCTTCTTCACCTCACTAATGTTAACAACATATATCAATTTTAAAAAAATTGAATGATAACTTTTGGCGTTAGAGCGTTCACAAGAAATTGTGGACAACGGACGGACAGACAGACGGGCGCGACAGCAATATACGTCCACATTTCAATGTGGGCGTATAAAAACGATGGGGACAATTAATTTACAGGAAACAAAATTTTCTCATGTTACAAGCACTTATGTCTGTGTGATCCGAATGAAAATATGGTACTGTCTGTGCCAGTTGGGGGACAAGTGTGGCTCACGGTTAGTAACATTATATGTGAGATAAACTTATTTCTTAATCTAAAACTAAGATTCCGTTCATAATCTACTGGAAAC